TAAGCTGAGGCTTAGTTATAATCACAACTTTAACTTATTTTTTTGCGTACTCCTTTTTTAATGGCAGGGTATATTGCGAAATATAACTCCAATGATTTTTTGCTGCGGCAAAAATCGATAAAACTAGTGGAGAGACAAGCGAAACGAAGGACCCGCATGGTGTGGTGGTGAACGCGTTACGTCCTCGAAAAGGACGATAGCGCATTCGTTCCCCACCGCAGACACCTACGGTCCGGAGTTTTACAAATATCTCAGCATCACTGAAGTTATATTTCGCAATATACCCCGCCATCAAAAAGAGTAGGCAGGAAATAATAGGTTAAAATTGTGATTATAACTACAGCCTCAGCTTAACTGGGTTCGTTGCCGATTTGGCCACCAGATGAATGCCGCTGACAGGTGATTGCTGGAGGGAAAAAGATCGATAGAATTAGCTGAGAGACAGGCGAAACGAAGGACCCGCATGGTGCGGTGGTGAACGCGTTACTCCTCGAAAAGGACAATAGCGCGCTCGTTCCCAACCGCAGACACCTGCGGTCCGGAGTTTTGGAAATATCTCAGCATCATCGGAGTAATATTTCGCAATATACCCTGCCATTTAAAAAAAAAGAGTAGGAAGAAAATAATAAGTTAAAACAAATGAAACAGCTTCAAAAACCCATAAGTTCACATAGTCAGCTTAGTTTAGTACAGTTTATAGTGTAGTATACTTCCCATTTACAAAAGGGCGCCAGCGGCGGAGTGGTTGGAGGCGCTCTGCAACACACAGGTGGAATCGATTCCCGCGCCCATGCTCCACCAAGCCTTCCATCCCTCCGGGATTGGCAAATTTGTACCAGACTTGTCTGGTAGGATAGCAGCACTGACTCAATACAGCGGTAGGCCGCTGCGAGTTATTGTAAAGGCCAGATATACATTCAATAACCTCCATACGATGCTTGATGAAGTCGAATGCATGGCACATCCCTTAGGAATTGATGAACATCGAGAGCTTCATCCTTTCTTATGCTTTTATAGTCTACATAGTTAATAAGTACAAGCAGGGAGGAAAGGAAAAACTCAATAAAAAACGAATAAAGTGGAAAAGGAGAACGTGGGATCTGCAAAAAAACCCAGCACGTTTTATCTGAATTTAAAGTTCTGTTCCTTGCAAAATGAGTGCGTGTAGCGCAGTGGACAGAGGCGTCTTGCAATACACATGGGATCGATCTGCGCACCCCAGATTCATCAGGCCTTCTATCCCTCCGGGATCGGCAAATTGGTACCAGACTTGTCTAGGAGGACGGCAGCACTGGCTTGATACAGCGGTAGGCCACCGTCAGTAATTCCAAAAACCAAATTTGCATTCAGTAACCTCTAACGATTTTTGATGAAGTCGAATGTATGATGCATCCCTCGAGGATTGATCGATGACGAGAGCTCTTTGGGAACTCGTACAACAGGTTATTTTGATGTTGAGAGCCAATACACAGAAGCTTAGCTTGTTCAAATGTTCCGTACCTTATTATCTACTCGAACTAGCGAATATGGCGCCTTTTAAATTAAAATCAGTGGAGAAATTGAAGGCAGAAGGACGAGAAAAGTTTGATAGTTATCAGCTAATCTTTTCTTATAAATTCATAATCATTTCAGAGTTTACAGCAAAAAGTCGTTCGAATTTCCAGTGATTTAACGACACATCCGTTCGCGTAAAAGCTTTTTGAGAAAAATGTCTAAAAGGAGAAATTTGCTTGGCTTTAATCACACCAATCATGTCCTTTAATTTGAAAGAAAAAGAATTAGCAGAGAAACAGGCGAAGCGGAGGACCCGCATGGTGTGGTGGTGAAGGCGTTAGCGCCCGAAAGGGGGAATGGTGCGTTCGTTCCCCACCGCAGACTGATTGTATCACACATAATACCCTGCCGTGAAAACTTGTAAAAGGCAGTAAATAAAAAGTCAACTGATCTTCTTAAGCTGACGCGAGGTTAGTATAGGTCTTCATTGTCGTTGTCGTTGCTTTCGATGTTGTTGGTCGATGGCTGACGTTTCAGCGACTTCGCCTTCCTCAGAGCCTGGACGTATTTTATATTAGAATATTTTTATTATTCGGTGGAAAAGAAAGGTTAAAGTATTAATGAAGATCAAACTTTCAAATAGGGGCCATATTGAACAGAAAGGCCACTCACCGTGATGTTACGTGTGGGACTGGCCCACACGTAGTTCACGTGGGATTGCCGGCAAGACACCTGCGGTCAAAATATCATTTTGAAATACGGCGCCAGGTCACGCGTGATAGTGAGGCTTTCGTCCTTCCGGCTGATCTTTGGTTTTTTGAAATTGATCCAAAACGCCTCAAGAGTTTTGCGCGTTGATGTTTTTGATTCCTGCGCTGGGATCCGCACATTCATTTCAAAATCGTCGCCGTTGTGCTTTTGTGCCCTATGCGTACCTAGAGGGGTGTTTAAACGGATTTTAACTTTCCCATCTAGATGTTCTTTTATGCAGACACCAAGTGGTCTACCCGTTTCCCCAATATATTCCTCGCCGCATGCATTACATGAAATCAAGTATGTTATACCTAAACTCATGCAATCCCCGTCTCTCCCGTTAGGACAGATCATACAGTTTTCTGAGCCGCACAAACGATCATAGAGACGGTTTCGAACTAACTGGCTGCGTAGAGTATTGGGTGGGATGTCAATAATCGTTACATAATTTTCAAGACCACTTTTTCTTAAGCACCTTTTAATGGCGTGACTTACTTCATTTGATATGAAGGGAATCTTGCTTACGTCCGAAATATTATTTTGGGGGACTACCCTACCTTCTTCTATAACCCGAGTGGCTTCTACTTCATAGCAGTTGGAAATAGCAATTTTTCGTGCCAGGTTTTGCGATTCCTTCCTTTCCTCTTCTCCTGTGCACACATTTTTAACCGTACGATACATTTTTTTGATAAGTGCTTTCACGTGTGAAGGATGAGAGGAGAGGCAGCGAACTAGAATGTTTTTACTACTTGGCTTGCGATACCATTTTGTTATATAGCCACTTACTGAGAGCTTTATTTGGATGTTTAAGAATGGAAGCCAGTTCTCGGTAGGTTTCTCCCGTGCAAATTTTAGATTTTATATACTCTAACTGTCTATTTAACAATTCAAAGCACTCATCCATCTGTTCTTGTGTGGAACAGACGATGAAGCAATCGTCTACGTATCGGCAGTAGAGTAAGGGTCGGTGATCGAGAAGCTTCCACCTTAGACATGAAAGCGATGGCAAGGCTTGGTGCTAAACGCTGCCCCATCGCCAACCCTCTAATTTGTGCAAAATATTTTCCAGACCACCTAAAGATTGAACAACCAAGACACTATTTTAAGAGGGTNGAACAGACGATGAAGCAATCGTCTACGTATCGGCAGTAGAGTAAGGGTCGGTGATCGAGAAGCTTCCACCTTAGACATGAAAGCGATGGCAAGGCTTGGTGCTAAACGCTGCCCCATCGCCAACCCTCTAATTTGTGCAAAATATTTTCCAGACCACCTAAAGATTGAACAACCAAGACACTATTTTAAGAGGGTCATTGGTTGTGCAATCGACAAGGCGTGCATTTTTATTTTCTTTTCATGCTCTACGAGCAACTCGAGAATGGCTTGCATTGCGGAGTCATTGGACACGTTGGTATAAAGTGAAGTAACATCGAATGACTCCATTATATGCGTGCTGTTTGGTTTCGCGCGCCTTAGGTGATCTAGAAATGTTTTGGTGTTAGGTAGATGGGTTGGAATGAATTTTAGCAGCTGGGTTAGGATAAGGTTTAGGAACCACGTTATTCTATCCGTTAGCCCGCCTATACAACTGATGATAAGTCTAACTTTAAATGATGATGGGTTCGTTGACGTAATATCATCAGTTGAAGTAAGCTTATGTGTTTTAATAAGCAAGTAAAGGACAGGGCAAATTGGATGTTCGTTTTTAAGTCGAGTAATAACTGAAGGCTCTAAACCCGCGGCCTTTGCCGTGCTTACCTATTCTTGATTTAATTTTCGGTATTGATTTCTATATCCCTTTTCAGAGGATGTTCGATAGAAAGAAACATCATTGAGGTGCTGCTCTGTTATTCTAATATCCAACTGACTAGGATAGGTCACATGTGATAGTGAGGCATTCGCCTTTCTGAAAGACGGAAACCAATCGACCTGGCGCTTTATTTCAAAATGATATTTTGACCCCGGGGTGTGTCTCGCCGGCGATCCCACGCGAACTACGTGTGGGCCAGTTCCACACGTAACATCACGGTGAGTGGCCTTTCTGTTCAATATGGCGTCTATTTGAAAATTTGATCTTCATTAATTGATCTGGGGAGTCCAAATCGGCATTGAACCCAGTTAAGCTGAGGCTTAGTTATAATCACAATCTTAGAAAAACGAAGGACCCGGATGGTGTGGTGGCGAAGTGCGCTACTCCCCGGAAAGGACAATAGAGCGCGTTCATTTCCCACCGCATACACCTGCGGTTCGGAGTTTTGCAAATATCTCAGCATTATATACGAGTTACTTCCTAGTTATTTTGATCTCATAATAAGCTCCAGTCGAACCAGAAGACGAAAGGATGAAACTGGCGCTATCCACTAGCAAATCTAACCTCGACCGAGGAAAACCATACCGTTCTCCAGAAATCACCTCTGATTTCTCTGGGATACTGTTGTGCTATATAGTCGTAATCACACATCACACATTTAAATTCACGAGAATTCTCCTGAGCTTTCACAAAATGCGTGGGCCGGGGTCATACTTTAGTTCGTCAGTTGGGGTGATTTATACCGATTTTTCATAGAAATCGATTCGTTAAAGTGGTTTTATTAATAAAGAATATGTTGTTAAGTTTCTAACTACTAATCCTAGGCTTATGGTTTGTCTTCGTCGATTTATAAATCACTTTGCTCGTCTCAGAAGGCTTAGTTCAATAATCGGTTTTGCTTTAAGCTGACTAAGGGGACCATTTCTCATTTCGTCTTCTATTGAGGATGATGCGAACGTGCCCACATTGTGGGTGTTCCGATATCGATGAGGACGCGACAAGAGGTATTTTCACTTTTGTCTTTGTAACGTGGGTTATTCCTTAATTATGAAGTTTTTCGAGATTCGGTCTACATTTAACGATAATCCGTGAATTATTTCATTTCTAAGGTGATTCCTCATGTACGAATTGCGGTGCCGTCTTAGAAGAATCCATTATCGTGTCAGAAAATCAATTTCAAGAGAGGTCTGGTGGGAGTGGGCACACACTAGTAGGTTCGTGATTTACTTCGATGTATTGAAAATGCAATAGTTCCTTTGTAAGTTATGTTTTCTGATGGTGGAGAGTGCAATCAACTGTTCCTTATATTTTTCGAAGTGCTAAACAGAGCCGTAAGGTTCAACTTTACAGCTTTTTCCACGTAACTTTTTGAATTTTGGTTGGAGAGGACGGATAGTGTAGTCGTAATAGTACCGTTCATTGCGCCCACGCCATACAACGGGCCCAAGGGCAAACTGGACTATTCCCCAAGCCAGCCATGATCGATCCATATTGGGTTGGCGAATTGTTACCAGATTTGTCTGGGAAGAGCTCTGCCGGAATCACGATGACTACCAGTCACCTGTGCTGGACATCTGGAAATGCTCTGGTAGCTATTTCATGTCTTCAGGGCCAATCATTTATTTCAAACAGTACTCATTAGGGAAATAGGTTTATTAAATATCATTTGGACTTATGAGCAAAGCCGAAGTTTTCCATCAATGACGAATGCAAGACTACGAATCTGGGAGAGAAGTGGAAATCTGTGCAGTATGTGAAGCCATGTGCAAGCACGCTCTTCAGATAATACTATTTCTGAGCAATTTCTTGATTAAAGAGCAAGAAAAGTGCTACTCTGTACAAAGGAGTACTCGAGGTAATTGGTCACTTGTTCTACGACCCCAAGGTTTAAAGTTTATCTTGCACAGAACCATCTTGCATTGAGCAGTTTTATTTCCATAAAAAGATTTTTTCACCGTAGCATGTATTTTGGATCTAGTGTTTTTTTTTAAATGCATAGAACTTCGAGCGTTTTTGAGGTCAGTTCGTGTCTGTCGAACGTGCGCAATCTCAAGCTTGTGTGAGCGGTAATGGTTTAGTATCGCAAGAATCACGAGAAGTCACATTTGCTAAGGGTAGAAAACTTATAGAAGAGGTACGATTAATAATAAAACTTGACTTTTTTTACTTAACACTTTTAAGTTTCATTCTTATTTCAGATCGCTAGTCAACTACGCATTAACCAACGCTGTATCGATACATCGTATAATTTTTTCAAAATGTGTGTCAGTCGTAATCTCACTCGTGGACGTATCAGGTGGTTCCTTATCTACCAGTGCGATGACTAATTTTACGTATAAAACAAGTAAAAAATGTGTTTCGCGTTAGTTGTTTTGAAGAAGATACGCTATCACGTTCTTTGTAAGTAGAAGGAGTAAGGTAGCCGATGTGTGGCTGAACTTTGAGGTGATTTTTGGAAATAGTGAATGGATAAGTTGGTATTCTTTCCAGAGAAATATCTGTACATATTGTTTGGTGAAGCAATTACTAAGATTCCTCTTAGCGGTTTACCACTCATTGTGGCTACGAGGTGTTCCTGTGTGTCGGGCTGCGGTTTAGCGCAAGGGCTCTTATCCCTTCAGGAGAGTCCCCACAGCTGAGGCTCACTTCGAGCTTTCCGTCAGGTAGCTCAGCTAGTAGCAAACCAATACCAGGATTAACCACCGTCCTCATATCAAATTAAACGCATGGTACCTAATGTCCATCTGATCCACCAGGACGGTGACTGCTTTGGGTGGCGAGGACCTGTAGCAGGCTCTGGCCATGCTGACCCCTGGGCTCTAGGGCACCACAACGGCTAAACCAGCAAAACTCCGAGAAAATGGAGATTACACTGGCGCCCGCGCAAGCATTGAAGACGGGCCACGGGTATTGAATGCAGGGGTTATATCCGTTCGTTATGAGGGGAAGATTTGTTTTAACAGGAATACCGTTTCTTTTTTGTTTTTAGTTGAGTTAACTGTGTGGTGTTTTTTTATATAAATTGCAGCTTTTTTATACAGATCTCATGTCGTAGCCGCTTGTTTATATATGACTTGTCGTCTGGAGAACACCGCGCATTTGCTTTTGGACTTCAGTGATGTCACGCAGGTGTTGTTTGCTTACAAACTGTTGCTTTTCGCCTTTTTATTGTCTACATTGTTGTTTAAGGTGAACGTTTTTGATCTCGGGCGTACACTTAGTTTTTTATCTCGATCACTGCGTATCAACCTGCCGTCAACGGATCCCTGTCTATACGTTATGCGCTTTGCATGCCTTTTAGAGCTCGGAGAAAAGCAAAAAGAGGTGTTTTTATGAATATGTTTTAAATTTTCAGTAAGCTCCTGGATATAAGCAGATATCGCTTTTTCGAGATATCGAGATAAATTTATGGGGTGCATGTAACCCAGTGGTCGGAGGCACCTTGCATCACACACGTGGAATCGATCCCCGCACCCGTGGTCCACCAAGCCTTCCATCTCTGCGGGGTCGGCAAATTGGTACCATACTAGTCTGGCAAGATAACAGCATTGGCTCGATACATCGGTAGACCACTGCGAGTCATTGTAAAGGCCAGATATGCATTCAATCACCATACCATGGTTAATGAAGTCGAGCGCACGGCGCATCCGTCAGGGATTAATTAACGTCGAGTGCTTTATATTTTATTTTATGCTTTATGTTTTAAATTAAAAGTATTTACGAACATCTACTTTTAATGCAATAAATAAACCACAAGCATATTTTTTAGTTGAAGAGTGAATGAGGAGAATCAGTGTATTGTGTAGTGTATTATAAGCGAAATTTTTTCTTCAGACGTATCTTACCGACTTTCTTTTTTTAAAATATTGGCATACAAGGAATGAACAAAAAGTACCCAGTATTAGTGGTTTAATGTTATTTGCAGGTTGTGAACCTTGCTACCCGATTAGTTCAACGTATGAAGCGAGATTGGATGTCGACTGGACGACGACCGACGGGTTTATGTGGAGCTGCTCTACTGCTTGCAGCAAGGTGAAAAATATTTGAGTGGACTTTGCTGAAATATTCTACTCAAAGTTCACAGACATTTTTAATACTTTTTTCAATGTGATGAGTATGGTTTTGTGTAGAAAATTCATCTAGGTCTTTCAATTTCAACCGCTCAATCAGTGATGTAGTGAGAGTTGTTCACATCAGTGAGTCAGTTGTAAGAAAACGGCTTGAGGAATTCAGCCAGACTCCTTCATCTGCTTTAACTATCGACGAGTTTTCTACAATAGATCTAGTGAGCTTTTTTTATCACAGAATAGTTCTCAATTGTAGCTGAAAATGTTCTGAAGTTCGTGGTAGACCTCCGTATTTCGATACACATTATGCAGGCTTTGTCCAATCATAGCTATTAGTATGAAGAGTAACAGTTGCAGATGCAAATCGGATACAAACGAGCACTTTGTTTACGTTACGTTTTATTCTACGATTTCTGCTTTCTGAAGAACTGCTATAAACAGCATGACATTTCATGTTTCGCTGTCAAAATTCTGTTTTTTTTTCTTTGCTTTTGAGTACTATTGGTTTAGGAACACTGTGAGGATCCACCAGCGTATCGAGAAAGTCGGCGAAAAGCTCGTGAAGAACAGCTGGCTAAAGAAGCTGAGGCAGCAGCACGGATGGAGAAAGACGTAGGATCTGGCTTTTGATTTTATTGTATTTCTACTCATTTATTACCAAGGAGAACTTTTTTTGCGAGAAGGGGGTCGTGATCTTAACATGACCAATGTTTTTTGAAAGAGAAGACTAATTCCATTATCCTTTTCTAAGTATGATTTGATATAGTACTCTCCAGGTGATTCCAATTGAAGAAGAATTAGAACGAGCGCTTGAAAAGAGGAGGCGAGAAAGATTCAAGCACACTAGTTACGCTAAGATTGTTGCTGGTGAGATAGGTATGGTTTCTAAAACAGTTCTCTGTCATCAATATGGCCTGAGATTATTAAGCTAACAGCAGGTTGCCATAGATGTTGACCATTGACTTCGATTATCGTCGCTCTGAAGGAGACGATGATGTCGAAACATTTGCCGAATAGAACATAAGAACCTCTTGTTAGCATAATAAATTACTCATACCAAGTCTAAATGACGGTCGCTTTTCAAAAACACTTTTTTCGTTTTTTTCGTCATTTTTCTTTTTGTGCTGTTCGGGATTGCAATTGAAATTTTTTTATTCGATTAAACAGTTATTCAATTGTTGTTCAAGATTTATAACTGATATATCTGGTCATTTCGTTAGCTTTCTTGAGACATTCATTTAAAACTTTTTTTACACTTTTTTAACTTATTGTTTACTGCCTACTCTTTTAAACGGCATGTAACTTGTAACGAAATATAACTTCAATGATGCTGAGATATTTGCAAAACTCCGGACCGCAGGTGTGTGCGGTGGAGAACGAACGCATTATTGTCCTTTCTGGGGAGTAGCGCGTTCACCACCACACCACGCGAGTTCTTCGTTTCGCCTATCTCTCAGCTAGTTCTATTGATCTTTTGCCATTTGGTGTGATTTCGGCTCCCCAGATCAATCCTGCTGACGGGTGATTTTTCCCCTGCGGTCCGGAGTTTTGCAAATATTTTGCAAATATCTCAGCATCTTTTTACACTCTTTATCCGCTACCATATTTAATTTATTGAACATGCTCTTCATTACCATGTTTCATTTTTTTGTACTATTCACACAACCTCCCTTCATATACTGTCAAAATACTGGTTTCCTGCTCATGAGTGTCACTGAGTGCTGCCGTTGAATGAGTTGATTCTCGATGGAATTCTGTAATGGCTGCGACCACTATGCGCCTCTGTTTTAGTATCAGACGGATTTATTTTTATTTTACTAGACCCGTCCTCACGTCTACTGTACGGTTTCCAGCATATCTTTCACTCGGTTCGTTTCCTGGTATTCTTCATCGACGAAGGTCTTCGATTTTTTCGCGTGTAGGTTCGGTTGTTGCTTGACGACTGTTGTCTTCTTTATCAATGTCATCAAATTCTGGTCTATTCGATTTCCCCTAGAGTTGTGGGATAAGCCAGTAGTGCGCTACCACTTGGACTGCAGAGAGTGGTGTTTTCCAGACAAGTCCTACACCAATCTCCCAGTCGTGGAGTGATCAGAGGTTTGGTAAAGCCGATGTGGAGTCGAACCAGCACCGTGTTCGAGATGCACGACATCACTGCCACTGCGCCACTCGACCTTACACGCCGACTTGTTTTACATTGCATATGTCCTTATATATATACATATATATACATACATATACGTGTATATATACATGCGCCACCTGTCCCCTATTAAATGAATGCATCTATGGAAATATTTAACACAGGTTTTTCAGGACATAGATACATACAAATCATCTAGAACGTACTTGATTTCAGATGATCCGGAGGTTGGTGTTGCAGAAGAAGCATTGCTGCGAGATGAAGTAATGGATTCAGTATACCGTGCTGCAGACAGCGATGAAGAAGGGTCTTTCTTTCTTGGTGTTATTGCTTGTGTCCATAACGAGTTGTGGATTTACTCAAGTTTTCCACATTCAGAAATCTACGAGTCTGTAATGATTTCTGTTAATGTGAAATATAACTACTGTCTTTTTCTTTAGCAAGAATTTCTTTGCATATTTTAAGAATGTTTAGGAGAGGAACACCGGATTACCGTCAATATGCACCTTCACTTGATTCATTAGGAATTACGCAACGACCAACAAGTAACAATGTACCATCTCTAGCTACTACACCTCTACCACCACAAGACTTACCTGACGGTTCACTTGATCTCACTGGTTGGTATTATCACCTGCTGTCCGTAAAACTGTTCACGCAGTCAATTATAGGGATTGATGACGATGAGATAGACACTTACATTTTAACTTCGTCGGAATCAGCTATGAAGGAGCGTTTCTGGATGAAATTGAATGGAGAGTACGTCAAGGAGATGGAGAGACGGTGAATGTTTTAGAATTATTATTATATTGTTACCATTTTTTATTAACTTGACTCTATCATTACATCTTCTGTACGGATCTCAGCACTTCTTGTATCCGACTCCGGACTTCACCTTCTACAAAGATTTTCGAAACTTTCCGTTGTTGTTTGCACTGCTGCTTGAGGATATCATCATCGTCAGTGTCGTGAAATGGTGGTCGATTCGATTTTCCTTGCAACCATGGAGATAGCTGAGCTAAGGCGTTCCGATGTGGGTTGGAAGAGATCGGTTAGGAGAGGGTCGGACCAACACCTCGCTTCCTAGTGAACTGCATCATTAATCACGCGAGTAAAAGTAACACGTCCTTACTATTTTTTGCAAATTTTCATTTCAAACTGTTTTTGAATAAAATAGCATTTTGGGAAAGCTGCATATAACTTTACAGCGGTGGAATAATAACTTCTGAAAACGTGTAAAATTTCAAGTTCTGAAGTGCAATAATTTTAAAAGATTCATCGATATTTATCAGAATATTGTCGACCGTCTTTCATCAAATTGTGAACGGCTGTTTATTCTCAATTAATGCTAGCTAAACACCTTCTTATAATGTGTTATATATCGTCAGATTTTCTTCATTGAATATAAGACACGTTCGTATATATGCATAAATGTATACTTGGATGGCTCATCCTCACTGGCTGTGCGGGCCCCAGCACAATCCGCTTTTTCAGAGGTTTACTGGTTTAGCCATTGTGTTTCCTGCAATCCGGAGGCCAGCCTGGCCAAAGTCTGCCCCAGGTCGTTACCACCACAGGCAGTCGCAGCTCTTATGGATCAAAGGGAAATTTGCCACCATGTGACCAGTTTGATACCAGGACGGTGGTGGATCCTGGTATTGGTTTACTCTTAGCTAGGCATCGATGTTTAGGCGGATTTCTCCTTCTACAGAGCCTGGAATAGTTAGATGGACTGCAATTTAGACAACTAAACACTTCCATAACCTCAATAGAAAAATCATGAAACCTAGATGTCAATCGCATTAATAACAAACTGGTTCCTTCCCATAAACAAAACCTTCTATAAGTGAGTATTTTACACGAAGACCAACCTCACAGAGCTTATATGGATGGGTAATGAGTCTCTCTCACATTAAAGTATCAGTCTTACATGTAGTGTAAGATCTGTTATGATAATGAGGAAGGCCTACCTACTGTTCTCTTTTCGATTCGGGTAATTTATCCAGAATGCTTGGAGAGTTTTGCGCGCTGAAGTTTCCGATTCCTGTGTGAGGACGATAACTTCTACTTCAAAATCTTTTTCATTATGTTTTTTGTGTTCTCTGCGCGCACTGGAGTACTTGGTTTAGTTTTAACTTTACTGGCTAGATGTTTTTTTTATACGGTCGCAAATTCCTGAACGTTGTATAAGAAATTGGATAGACCATACTCGAACTCATGCAATCACCGTCTGTACTCTACGCATACGATGCAATTGTTACAATTAGGTGAAGGCTTAAGATTAAGGCAGAACGAAATAATGGAATTTATTTTCACTACATATGTTATTTTTTGCCAGTGCTTAAGAGACGATTTATGCTGGCAGGAATGTGGAGGTTTGTTTTTAAAAAGAAAAAATGTAAATTCCGAACCTTACGCTTTTCGAGTTACCAAGACGAATGTAAATTGCATCATAGGATCAAAGCCATGGATTTCTCGAAATTTACATAATATGCTCGCTCATCTTCCCAATGGCTTACCGCATCATAGTGGCTAGGTAGTGCTCCTTGGTTTCAAGCTGCGATGTACAGCGAAGGATTTGTCCCCTAGTAGGGTCTTCCGAACTGAGAGGGTGTTCCGCGTTTCCATCAGAAGCCCAGCTAAAAGTAAACCAATGTATCAGGATCAATATCAGAATACCAATATCAAGATCCACCATCGTCTTGGTATCAAATTAGTCACATGGTGGTAAATCTCCCGTTGTTCCGCAAGGACTGAGACTGGCTGTGGTGGTGACACACTTGGCGCAGACTTTGGCAAGTCTGACCTCGGGATTCCAAGGAACCGCAGTGGCTAAACCAGTAACACTCCGATAAATGGTGATTATGCTGGGGTCCTGCACAACTAGTGATGATGGGCCATCCAAATATCCAAGTATGCTCGGCGTTCCATTGGTTTACTCGTCCACCATGGCTGAATAGTGTCGCTACGTGTTGAGTCGCAATAAACAGCGAATGATTTGGGTCCCCAGATCAATCCCGCTGACAGGTGATTGCTGTTGGCAAAAGATCGATAGAACTAGCTGAGAGACAGGCGAAACGAAGGATCTGCGTGGTGTGGTGGTGAACGCGCTACTCCCCGGAAAGGACAATAGCGCGTTCGTTCCCCACCGCATACACCTGCGGTCCGGAGTTTTGCAAATATCTCATCATCATTGAAGTTAAACAGCGAATGGTTCACAATTACTTCGGGTACAGATGCTTAGAAATAGTTGGCGATTTTCATGCAGGACTCTACCTAGTAACAAGACAACGCCGGAACTTGACGCCGTCACAAAAGATCGTGGTCGTTAGGTGGTACCTACTTCGATGCACAAACTCCAAATGTTTTTAATGAAAATATTGAAGCACTGTGGTTATTTTTAAAAAGAAGGAATCATGAAAGTCCTAGTAACCTTCGTCTTACATATTTTAAATTTTTTTAAAGCTTATATATAAAAAGTTGTAGAGAAGATTTAAAAAGTCCTGAGGTTTATAAGGTAAAGTATGTATATATATATATATATATATATATATATATACATATATATATACGTATATGTATATGTATATATATATATATACATATACATATATATATATGCAGACATGTATTCTTATCCATGCATGTTTATATATATGTACATATATATATATATATAATATATATATATATATATATATAGAGAGAGAGAGAGAGAGGGACCACGTCTATTATGCAGGATGCAATCATAATAATAAGATAAGAAATCCGAATTTGAGAGGATTAGTCATGAAGGTTGTGTAAAAACTTTAGTGTCATTAATTAACTTCCACGACTCGCTTTGACACCTACCATGCTTAGCCTAGCACTTCTTGGATTCGATTCGTTTTTCCTGTTTTCACCGTCCACAATGGTCTTCGAACATTTGGCGTATTGTTTGGATATATATATATGTATGTATATATATGCATATATATATATCCTGTATATGGTCGGTGTATTAATATTATCAAGCATTTTTAAGACGAAAAGAACGCGAGGAAGATAAAAATAGGGATAATGACAATGCGACAAGAAAGAAGCGAAGGCGTATTGTGCCTTCAACGCAGAATCTCACTTCTGGTAGCGCTGTAGAAGCTATGGAGAAAATAATACATGTAAGACCATTATTGTTGGTCAGGTACACTGAACTCTGAAGAGGTTTATTTTTTATATGAGATTTGCAGGAAAAGCGGCTTTCTAATAAGGTGAACTATGATATACTCAAAGAAATCACACTTACCACGAGTGGACTCGAGCCAGTGAAACAAGCGAGTAATCCTCAAATTATTGCTGTACGTTTACTTGTTTTCTGTAGTTGGAAAGATAACTTTTTTAACGAACTGACTGGCCTAATAGTTTTTATGAAACAGTGTTTTTTGGTAGTACCCAGGATCGACTTTCTATTAACCTCAGCATTGGATTATGAAAAAGTGGCTCTGAAGAAGGCGATTCTGCCGAAACGCCAGCTACGATTGTGTTGTATGTGTGTTATTGTGTGGAAGTGTTTTTTATATTTTCTTGGGCTACTAACGTAAAATGAAAAGGTAGGTCTAAAATAGGAAATAAGTAAAATAGTGTGCAAGGTAAAATAAAAGAAAAAATGGTCTTTTTGATTAAACCTGTTGCGTTGGAACAGGTTTACTGCATAATAGACACACGTAGAGTAAGGGCCGTTTTCGCCACTTTATCAGTTTTCCTATTGGTCTGTGTGCTATAATATATTTGTTTCGGTTTTTTTTTATTTGTCTAAGTGCAGTGATCGCTTTTCTTTTTGTAGAATGTTAACGATCTCGTTGCAACTCTAGCGTTCGACAACACTGCAACACCAGTAAGTTTGATGTCGACTTTGACTACTTATGTTCTTTCTTTCGAAAAGAGTTTTATAATTCTGGAGGAAGAAAGCAACATATCGCTTGGTGCACCTCTTACACGTGAAAGTATGTCTCGCAGTGAGCGAGATATCGTTCGGAGGAACAAACCGCTGCAGAATCCTGCAGCATTGAGAGTTGCACTCAAAATAGAGCCGACGACCCCGGTAAGCTTGAATTCTGAGAAACAGCTATCATATATATATACATATATATGTATATATAGTGTACATATGCATTATGCATCTATATTGTGTGTACATATTTATAAATGTCACCATCGCCTGTATCACCTATCGTCCCGTCGCTTGTCGAGTGACTTGAGCGGCGCCATTAAACATTCCGTACTTCTCCGTTGCGTGCAAAAGTGTCGTAGTGGGTTCTGCTCTTGTTCGTTGGTTGTCGTTTAGACGCGCTACGTGCCCTGCCCACCGCGCTACGTTACCCTCGAGAATTTGGCGTATAGAACGTCGTCCTAGATTTTTGATCGTTGAAGTATCTTGGAGTTCCGGATCACTTATCTCACGTGATATGGATAGTTCTAGCGTTGCCGTTTCAACTGCAAAATGCTGGTTAGTCTTACATCCTGCTTACACAGCTACTAGGTTCCTGACTCATGCTTTAAGACAAGAAAAATCGTGGAAGTGAAAACTGGGCATATAATCACATATTCTTTGTTCTCCTTACTACATCCTCGGTGCTCTTAGAAGCTCCGTAAACCGTTCGCTTCCTCCTGCTCAACTTTGTGGCTAAGTCGTACATCATGTTGACTTTGCGACTTAGATGGGTGTAGCTGGAGTTTTCGGAGATATTCATACTGTTGAGCATGAATTGGGCATACGAAACAAGTGCGTTCCTCATGATTATCGTTTTTGTGTGATTCGAACGCCAATCTTTTTACAAGGGTTATCAAATTTGGCAAACTTTCGTTCTGCCTGTCTAATGTTTGGTGTTATAAGAAAGATGTCATCAAGAAGGCGAAGAACGATCGTAGTTTTACACTTGTCAAGGAAGCGTATTTTTGATAGTATTGTAGTGGACTATAGATGGGAAGATACGCCTTGTTTTACATAGATTGCCCGGGAATAGCTCTGCATTTATCTCGATTGGTATAATGTATTCGTTCGAATAGTCAGTATCGACTATTACTACAAAAAGATGATGCCAGCCAGATGAAGCCATTTATCTGTGTACTGTTTGCTGTACACAATTTAGCTCTGTCTCTTTTTTTCGTTCTCGTTTCCCTCTTCATTGTTGATAATCGGATGTGGTTAATAACTGTGAGCTCTAAGACAAAAATGGTCTTCGTGTAGGGTGTCCTTGATCTGATTTGAAACTCCGTTGCAGGAGGCCGTTTTCGTTATGTCGTTGAAATCGTTACGCGATTCCGGCCCTACAATTCTGTGGCGTCCTACAAATTCACAGCTTCCTTTTTTACGAGTCCATAGAATTGCTTGATGTGAGATTGCAGTGCTTGGAATGCTTTGAGGTCTTCTAAAACTATGTCGTTGTAGTTGCATTCGCCCTCTGATATTTCAAATGATCATCAGTAGGTTTAATCCTGTCACTATTCTGAGTCGATGAATATTGTTGAATACGATGGATCAACACAAGTGAGGAAATGTTTGTGGCGAATTCTTGTTTACTTCATGAACTTATACGCAACGTAGTGCTTCTATTTCATGACTTTTTGGAGGTTTTCACATTTTCCAGAGCCAAAAAGGCTCATAGTCACACGCGGCATACTCGATCAGTTGTTTTCATAACTTCGTAGTAAAATTCTTTACGAAACTCTGGATATCTACATTATTTGTCTTGTATATTGCTTAGCTGCCAATCACTACTTTCGTATTGGAGTGATGCTGACCGAAAAATACGTCATCAAGTTCACCTTGCTCAGCTCTCATCCTCTTGATCAACAAGTAGCTCGAGTAGGCAGCAGTAAATTTCCCCATTTGTAACATCGGAAGGAAATTTGTTTCTCATGAACACCGTTTTCATGAGACTTAAACGAAGGTCAATCTCTCCATCGTCTAGCGTTCTATTATCGCTGTTGAGAATAACTCGAGTGAATGGTTTATGGACGGCGATAGCTCCTGATGTCTTAGAGGTCTTCATTTCTGTACAAAGCCACGTTCTTTCTGGTTTTTCACTAAGTGGGACCTTGCATTCAAACATGTAACAACCGAGCCAGTATGTTTATGAGGACTTGCGGTAGGTTCTTTAGGTGTTCAAATCTTATCCTGTCCGGATCTAATGCTGTTCGATTTTTCATCGACGAAACAGCATGTCTGATTTTTCGTGTGAGAACCGGTGGTAGAACATATGCACCTTCCTATTTTCATATGCTCGTCTTACTCAACTCTGTTGTATCGAAGTCAGGCGAATAAGGCCCGTTTATTTTATTGTGTTTATCTTTTTGATATCCACATATAGCTTGCTGAGTTATTAAAGTGGGATATTAGTGTACTTACGAGTAGCTTGCCAATCTGTCACAGAGTACACGGAGGAGCTTTTTTGTTGGAGGCGACTCCTAATCCTCTCCCATGTACTTCCCTGTTACTTGGTTGGAGGCCGAACAAACGAGACTAGACCCACCAACGCAAGCATGAATACGTCCTCGTAAACACAGAAGGTATGTACTAAATCGGCGCAGCACAAACGGGCTCCATCCCATGAATTCACCTACGTCTTAAAGAAGCATAAGGTCAGGGAAGCAAAAGTCGCTTTTGGTCCGCGATTAACCCCTATCCGCCACCTGAAGTGTGCTACGTCGCCTTGCAACTAACGGGCATGGAATCCTTCTTGGCAGGAGATTGGTAGGATAGGCCAACATCAGGTATTGTGCGCATATCAGTATTTTTTGCACTCCGTTTGTTTCCTCGCGTTTATATTCTATGATGACGTGGGGTTTTCCTGTTATTTGAAGATTTTTAGTTATCTTCATGAATGTATTTATTTGCGGTGAAATCTATCTTCACTGGAATCCTGGAGGAGCCGTGCTAGAGCTGACGCCAGTTTAAACCGGGGACAAGCTTAACGACTTCGGAAGGATGGAGAGGGTTTGTTAGATCGGAGGCGGTCTATCTATTGAGTATTCCGCATGTTGAACGTAATCTATACTACTGTGCCGCACTACTACGTTCGTGTTGAACTCGTTTTTGGCATGGGTGATCGTTCTTAGGTAGTGAATTTCCGCTTTATGCTGCATTTCGACACCGAGAACCATCTTGACCAGAACGAGGTGATAAACCACTGGGAACTGTGTATACTTTCGTCAATGCCTGGGTGACACTTCGTCATTTGTCATGCAGTCCCCAGCACAACTTCCATTCATATTTTTTTCTCGTTAAATATGTACACATATATAACCTCCTATATATACATATGTACCCTCCACAATATATATATATATATACATATATATACGTATATACATGTATATATATATACTTATATATATACATATATATATATACATATATATATATACCTCCTAACGGTTTACCACCTCATCGTAACTGGGAGGTGTTCCTGAGTGTCGGATTGCGATGTACAGCGTGGGATTCATCCCTTGACCGGATCTCCTAAGTTGAGAAGGAGTCTGGTGTTTCCATCAGGAAGGCTGGCTAAGACAAACAAAACCGATATCGGGATCCACCACCGTTCTGGTACCAAAGTTGCATGGTGGCAAATCTACCTCTGATCCACAAGGGCTGCGACTGCCTGTCGTGGTGACGACCTGGGGCAGACTTTGGCCAGGCCGACCTCGGCATTCCAGGGAACCGCAATAGCGTAACCAGCAAATCTCCGAAAAATGGAGATTATGCTGGGGCCCGCACAACCAGTGAGAACGGGCCATTCAAGTGTCAAATATCTGGTAAGTATCTACATATATGATTATATATGTATATATATATGTATATATTTACGCTTGAGGCAGTAACTGTTTTCTCAAAATATGAGAAAAATTCTAAACATTAGATCTTGTTTAGAACGACTCGTCGGATTCAACTCCATCAGATGCTAAGTCTATTCCCACTAGTCGGTTCATGTCGTGTTCAGCAACGAAGTATGAAAGGCAGGTCTTCGCTGAGTTTCCCAATGTGATCTGCTTTCTGTTGTTTCAGTTCTACGCGACGTATTCGAGTGGGAAGTGTTAAGCCTAATCTCAGTCAAGCAGCATTGCGTAGCAACAATATTTCTACACCTTCCACGTCTCACTATGGTGCACCTTCAGTTACGGTTAGTTATATAATCTTTGGTTTCAAAAGAGTTTAACGTTCGAAATTCAACAGGCTTTACCATTGGGTGTGAATATGTATGAATCCTGTGGAATCAATTTCTAGTCGTTCACCGACAAATATTACTGCACCGTAATTTTTTCAGGTTAATGGGAACGATAATCATTCAGCAGAGGGTGATGAGACATCTGAAGTCAAACAGCATATAGCGGATGTATACATGTCCTCTACACAAGTTCATACGGACAAAGGAAGTGTGCTGAAAGAATCGCCGGTGCCCTTAGTTGTGCGCATATCCATTTTATTTGTTATGCACACTCTTATGTGCCTTTAAATGATATCCATGCTCTGTCGATACTTCGTTTTTCTCGAAAGAAATGTCTAAAGTTATAGACAATTTCGACTACTAGTGAGATTGATAGCAACAGTAAGGAAGTGGTTAGCCCATCGAATAGACTTCCGGATGTCGCTTCTTCTACAAACATTGAGGTAGCCATAATGAACCATTTCCTATATCTCTCTGAGAGCATCTGGTAATAGGACATTTATAAACACATGGATAAATTCAATTCCAGCTATTTAGTACATCCTTAGAATTTGTTTTAGACGAGACCACTGAGTGTCCCTGTTTCGAATACTGCGAGTTCGTTGGGCAGGACTTTGTTGCGAGGACGTCGTCTCCTCACCAAGCCCCGCTTGCCAATAAATGACCATAAAGTCGTTAATGGAAAAGAGGTTGGTACTTCTCACCAGCATTTTGTATGTGTCTAACCCAATCGGTTCAATATGTTTTACAGGAGGCAGTGTCAGACGAAACTGTTAATAAATCGTATGAAGTCAATAGCCCTTGCAGTCCAAGAATAACCAGATCTCAGCAATCAGCAATAACCACTCCCATAACAAATGATTCTACACTGCTTGAGAAGGCAGGGGATTTCACTTCACATAAATCTGTGTAATTTGGGGTCGTTTTTGTCGTCTTTATAACGCTGATATTTGAGAAATGATGACGTTACAGGCCCCAAAGGTTATTGAAAGTGATTTAACCTTAAAAACTGATCATACTGGATTGAAACGTCGTCGGCGGCCTTCTACGAAACCGTGTTTACCATCATCGTCTGGAAAACGTCTTGATAACACATCGACCTTAGGCGATGACTCGTCGAAGTCGGCTTCTTTTGGGAAGAAGGTGGGTCTTTTATTGTCTTATCATATCAAATATATACTCACAAGCAAAATGCATCTTGTCCTCTACATTCCACGCTTTCTAATATAATTTCAATTGCTTCTTGCATCAGTGCAATTGTCATTTTTTACGTTGTAGGTGCCTTTATATACATATAGGTATAATGTCAAACTAATAACGCAGATATTAGCCTGCGGCCTTAAATGTTAGCTCTTTTGGCCCGTAAATCTGAAGGCACAACGTCATACTTTGTTTACCAATAGCCAAATTTGCTGTACAAGTCCACTTTCAAGTACAATGCTTGTAAATGCTGATTTGGCGACATTACAGGTAACCAATTTTATATCGTTTCTAGAAAGCTCCTCGAACTTCTAAACAGAGAGATGAGCACACAGTGTTAAATAGCCGTAAGTCGAGTCCTAGTCGCCGCTTACTCCGTAGTTCGTTGAAAAGATGATGTTTTCTTGTACTAGAATATGATGTTATGCGTACAATATTCATTTTTTGCCATATTTTTCAGTTGTGAGAGATTTGGTGTGTATACATACAAAACATTTAATTTCTATGTGATATGGTAATCTTAGTACTTACGAAGTATCTAGTATTTCAAGCCAGGAATAACAGATCATGATTGTACCATATGCTTTTTGTGATCTCATTTGGAACTTTGACTGATAGATTTGTGGGCCACTGTTGTTACTCTGTTACTAATTTGTTTTGATCTTTCATTGTTATGGAACTGTTTGTTGTTGTCTCTGCAACTTCTATGCCACAATAATGGTATTTATAAGCAACTATAGCAGTAAGGTCAAATAATTGCCTTTATATATCATATGAATTTTTTTGCAAGAGCAAGGACCTTAGCGAATTGCGCCTTGTGTTTGTTCTCCAGAAGTTTCGCCGGAATCGGTACCATTATTCGATTTCCAAGTGGGTTACCTAAACTATTAATAGGCAGCATACCATCATGATATTACCCGTGATACGCACTAAGTGTATGCCATGAGTACCACAACTCATTCTCTTTCTGGACGAACGAAGTTTTTCTCAGAACTTCCGTAACGCGTACTTCTCGTAATGAATCGATAGCTGGTCCAAACACGGATTACGCGTCGTCCGAGAGATGTTCCTTTATACGGTTTACAATTCACAAGAGACGCCTTCGTACGAGCTGGATCGTTACACTACAGAGACTTATTGATGAGAAAAGCACTAAAGACAGTATTACTGATCACTTGCTTGTTCGTGGCATTGAGAAGCTGCCGCGTTGTGGGGCAAGATTTTGTGCCAACATATTTGCCCAATAACCGTTACCGTACGGAGGAGCGCACTCGATGCTCCTTAAGCTGTGCCTGGCACTAGTTGGGCATAACTCAACTACTACGAACTAGGTATCGTCCCACGTGGCTACCAAATGGAATTATGCGTCGTATGCTATGCTACCTGAATCCTTACTCATATTCAATAACCCCGTTCAGCTGATCTGGTTCTTTGTGTCTTGTTATTCACAAAATATGATTAGCGAAAATCTTTGTCAAATTCCCACTCACCTTCCTCGTCCAGCAAAACGATATTGTTCGTGTCGGTGACAGGGATTCCATGCTTGCGATAGTGAACGTGAGTATTTGCACCGACAACGTATGCTTTTCGCATTTGTCCACGTATTGCGACAAGGATCTCAAAAGCAAGTTCTTTACATGTGCTAAATCCCCAACACTAATATTGCCAGAAACTCGCACTTTATCTCCCAGTGTTGCGTGAGGGAGATGTCTTTTCCGACGACCTTGCTTATAGACGTCGATACAATACGCTCGCTTTCCGGATATATGTGCTTCTTTGCCTAACGCCGAGTTGTCCACTACGTTACATCGGGTTCGTCGATGAATCCCCGTAGATGGTGGACGAGTGCGATGCTTGGACAGCTCATAACTGAATTTCAGTATATAATCGTAGTAATTCAAGCTCTCTAGTAGCGGAATTTGTCCATATATAACAGAAATGCGTAATTCGTAAAGCAGTGGGAACTATGTCATAGCTATAGGAGTCTCTTGGTATCTATCGTGAATTAAAAAATTATTAGACATCCTGGATAATGTATTCAAAATAATACGGTTTTGATACTTATAACAGTGCTAGAAGAGATATTGCAGCTACTTCTATGTTGTCATACAGCTTGCTTCAACACTTCATTAATATTTATGGAAAAGAAATCAAACATAATAAGCTCCATTCCAAACTCTTGACTTTTTAACACTATCTGGAGCATTTTCATGCTTATAAGGACAATGTCGGCATCCGCTACCACAACAATTTCCTCTGTACAAATGATGGCATACGGTAAACACAACATAACCAGTAAACGGATCCTTGTAGGTTAACTTTCGCTGTTCAACTGCTTTCAGATGCGCCATACATATTGTCCGTTCGTCGCTTGTGAGAGCATTGTAATCCTTCCAAGGCACCTTCACTTTAGCCATAGACGCTTCGAATAGCACATAGTTTGCAATTTTTTCGCCATCTTTCCAAGGCACTAAGTCGAAACCAGCTTTTCCTTCTCCTTTAGGTTTGTAGTACACCGGAGCGGCATTTTCTTTCACCAGGCGAATGTCACCGTTCGAAGTGGGGACAGTTATATTGGAACTGTCTGCGCCAACTTTTATGCAGAATTCAGCTCGAGAGCTAAAATTTGTTCTCTGTGGATGCACCGAACATGTGGAACAAAGTAACCTCCTTTATGTTACTCAAACTGACAGCACTCACCATCTACTAACACGCAATAGTCTAGTCTATTGTCTTTTTTTGCTGTCAACGAAACAGATCTGCCTGCATCGTTCTGACTACTACTAAATTGTGAAACTACGCAACAAAGTATATCGAAACACCCGGAGTGGTAAGGAGGACAGAGTATTGATTTCCTTTTCGGACTTGACTTCCATTGAATGAAAGCAACCCGAGCACATGGGGTATGTCGAAAATAACCAGGTCATGAAAACAACTGTTCTTACTAAAGTGGTCATCGTATGGCCACTGAGATTAAACAGGGCAAGAAAAGGAGGATACTCTACTGCTACTTTTCACCTTATATGAGTAGACTATCCCATCACTGACTAACTTACACCCTACAATCCTACTTTCATCTAAGCAAACGCAAGTTGATCAAGAGATTTAATGAGCAAAAATTCCATAGAACCAGTCCACTTCAAGTACGTACAGTGGGGCATACAGTATTAGCAGAATTGGCGTACTTTCCTGTGCTTTCCAGAATTTTTTCATAAGGAGTTACGCAAGTACAAGAACACATAAACTGACTTGATATTATTCGCAAAGTAATGCAACAAGTTACAAGAGCTATTGACGGCACTGCCTGCCTGATCGTCTAAGTAGAATGATCGACATCACTTTATTATCACTTCATTACCACTAAGGAGCTCTCACGTTTAAGTCTCTCACTTGCACTATCTCTATTCCGTGAAGGGAATCGATGTGGGGGGGTACAATTCAACCACACAAATGAACGCACCTATGGATACGAACAATTTGAACACTGAGGAATTGAATACACGAATAAAGCAAGCGCTAACAGCTTCGCGAAGTTTCAACTTTCTTCGTGGTGGTTAACTTCGACTTACCAGTATATTCATACAGGGTTTTTGATTCACAACGAAACATAAAACTTGGTGCAGACTGGTTAATACTCTATGATGGTAAACGCTACCATTTTCGGAAACCAGCCAAACAACTTTCACACGGTGTTTTATAAGCCCTCTCTTTCATTTGGCTGAAGAATGAGAGGGGAATGCGGAGTGGTTAGTGATCAGCCAGCAGTCTATCACCAAGCAAGGTTCTAGTTCAATCCGCTCCCCAACGATCTATTACAATCCACATAGGAAAGTCTTAGCTCGGTTATCTCCACGATTTCAAAAAGAATTGATTCCACCTAAATTCTAAGAGATTTATAACGAAGAGAAAACGCCCAAGCAGCAGCGGAAAGAACACGGGAAATGTTGATAGACCTTTGTGGACGATGAATGAAATAAATACAATGCAAGAAGTGCTGGAATCCGCAGAATACGGGGCATGTAATAAAATCTTACAAACTTATCTCGGCAATAATAATACGATTGTAGTAATAGCGAACATTACAGTAGCAGTAATATGAGTAATAACTCACACTGGCTGAGGCCACCATCTTCCTGAAGCGTGCTGAACGGAAGAGACGAGAGGACAGTAAGTCCTGCATAGAAGTCCTGTTGTTATCGAAGTCATCCGATTGAACACGGACAGCAATTCCATATGCTGAAAACTGAACGAGTAACCGAAAATCCACACATTTAGACAGAAAAACGAGAGTAAGGAAATTGTATCAACATTGGGACAAGCTTAAAGAAGTTATATCTAAAGAACAAAAGAGGGTAAAGCTCTCGGCAGTGATCAATCCTTGAGGAATGCGCCATGCGTTCGACTCCATTCGTAGCATCGTCAGCGGTGATTGAAGGCACATCTGGCCTGTACAATGACTCGCGGTTCCTTACCGATAAATCGAGCCAGTGCTGGACGAATTTGGCAATAATTTGCCGATGCCGGAGTGATGGAAGGCTAGGCGAGCCTGGGGCGTGGGGATTGATCCCATGTGTATCATTGCAGGGTTCCACTCACCACTGTGCTATATGCGCCAATAGAATTCATACATTTTAAAACACAATAAAACTTACTTCAACCTCTTGCACAAAGCCTGGTCACTAATTTTCCTCAGCTGCATTCAAACAGCAAGTGCCCTGATTTAAGTCAACCTGCACCATCTCGGCAATTCATTGGCGCATTATTGGTGCTATATCAGGATAGCAAGTTCCTGATCCCTGTGGAAGAGTAGTTTTCAAGTCTTTGAAAGTTATTTAGGAAATCCTTTTAGGCACTGTTTTTGAATCCTGAGCACTTCCGAGTATTCAACGCCAAAGGGATCACATCGGTGACCAACCACTGTGTTGATTTCCAGGTCTTCTGGACACAATTTGTGACTCTGTTGACATCTATAACTGAACAACATGTCGATAAGCCTCTGGATGGTTTATTACTTCATATCCAGACGATTTGTCTAGGTGTCGTATTGTAGGGTGTGCCGCCCGTTCCGAAAGATGTTTTTCTTTTTTTGTAAGTTTTTAAGTGCAGAGAATGCCTTTCCTGATCTTAGCTCTCCTAGACTGATCTGCTTTCGATTAGCTATCGATTGAATACTCATAGTTTCAGGTAAAAGAGCTCCGGAACCCACTGAATTGAATCATTTAGTCCGTTGGCTTAGCCACGTTGAGACACTAGACGTCCATTAGGTGTTAAGTAACGTTTTGTTCTAATGTTTTCACCTGATGTCCTAACTGAACCAATGTTTTCACCTCTTTGAAAGGAAGAGTTATTGGATTCTCATTTTAAGGTCATTTTGAATGTATTCCACGTCATTCAGTACTGTCAGTGCTGTTTAAAGGGTTGAAGTTGGAACATTTTAAAAATCCACACTGAAGGTATAATCTAATGTGGAGGAGGGTCATTAGCAAGATTCTAGAGTGGAGGCAGAGTATTTTACTGGACCGATGTCCGTACTTATATTGGATTGCGGTAGGTGTTTCTCTGTTCTTAATAGTTCTGAAAAACAAATGTGTAGAGTAGAGAGTAGAGTAGAGTAAAGAATTCTTAAGTGGTTAAACAAATGCTGTTGGATGGAGCGAAATATCCAGAAAACTGTCGAGTTAATTTGATTGCATAGTTTTGACTTTTTTCTTTTTCTTCTCTTTCATTTCCTTCCTTTTTTCTTTAATTATTCTTGGACTCTCTGAATTCATCAACTTGTTGGTTACGTGATAAGATGCCATTTTGGATTGATTCACAGTGTTTTTTCTCTAATCCTTCAACATGTTCATGGATTTTCTGACCCTAGTGATTGGCTAAATTACATCGTAGCGTCCTTGTTAACAAGCTATCCTTGTGTTCTGACCTTCTCTAGGAATTAGATACTGCGCTGAAGGCTAAGGAATATGATTTAAGGACGATTTCTGTGTGAATATAAAGCACTAGAAAGCTCTCGGCGTTGATCAATCCCTGAGGAATGTGCTATGCATTCGACTTCATTAAATATCGTTGGAGGTAATTGAATGCATATCTGGTCTTTACAATGATTCGCGGTGGCCTATCGATGTGTCGAGCCAGTGCTGCTATCCTACCAGAAAAGTCTGCTACTAATCTGCCGACCACGGGGAAATCGAAGGCTTGGTGAGCCATGGGCGCGGGGATCGATTCCACGTATGTGCTGCGGTGGCGCTTCCAATTAATGCTCCACATGCGCCACTCTATAAAGCACAACCATCTAACTTTGTCGTCGTTTAGTAAAAAAAAAGAATCATTTAGTGGTTGAATTAAGACTGACTTGAATGTCACCTTCATACATTCTTCTGGAATCATGGAAATCGTGAAAGTCCATTTCGTACAGAAACTCACATTACTGGGCGGAAATCCGAATTTAGCTCTCCTATTTCAGGTGGTTCTAATGTAAGATGGCATCAATGAGTAAAATGATTGCCTCGATGTGTCGTGGATTTCTACGACCTACTTCTCCCATGATGCCAACTCTTCGTGAATCGCATGCTGCTTTGTTCCGTAAACGACCAGCTCATCTCATTGTGAACAGAATCAAGGTGAGTTTGCATTTCAGTTAAAAATATACGTGTTTTTTTTTATTTTTTATTCATACGTCTTGTATTCACATCTGTGAGGATCCCAGAACTTCTCAAATTCGATTAGCTTCCTCGCATCCATCATCCACGAAGGTCTTCCAACCTTTACGTGTGACTTCAGCTGCTCGAGGATTTTCACTTCATCTTGAATGTCGTAGGATGCTGATCAAGTCGATTCTCCTTGGAGTCCTAAGATAACCGGGCCGGAGCGTTCCCATTTGGGTTGCAAAGAGTGGTTTGTTCACGGACAAGTCCGGTTACAATTACTTGATTTCGGAGAGGTGAAAATTTTGATGAGGTCGTAGCGGGATCAGACCTGCACCGTACTCATGATGACTGGATGACTCGTGAATATATATGTATATATACGTGTATATATACGTATATATGTACATATATGTGTATGTGCACATGCTATGTTTAGGCATGTATATATACACACATTAGTTTTTTCAATTTTCTGTCCATTTTCTCTGCCTTCCTTTCACCTTGTGCGTGAAATTCGTATGTTTTCACTTTTCCGAACTTTTGTTGTACTTTTTCCTAGAAGTTTCGTTTATGAGTGGACGCGAATATTTTTAAATTTTTACACTTATTCTGGTTTATTGCCAATTCATGTACTCCGTAATTGGTTCAAAGTTTCTACTCACCTCTCTCTATTTGTTTATGTCTTCCCTATGAATGTTGTATTCTGCATAGTTGAAGTCTCATTTCATTTTGAGAATAGGTGATCCACTCGTGTTTTATCTCCGAGGTTTACAATATTTTCCTGTGTTATTCGGATTTAGCGCGAACTTGTATCGAAGTACTATTGTGTTGTTCAGGACTACTGCCATTTCTACTTTATCGGAATTGGTATTTTGCCAGTTGTTATCTGTCTTGCTTACAACCACATCGTCTACGGAACCTGTGAGTTAAGGGATTATCCCGAAGTGAGCAGTATTTTCCTTTCTTTACATGTACATGTATTGATAGAAACAATAGTAGTGATTCGTTTATGAAAATGGTTGCGGTAATACCATTAGAAAATTAAGCATACGAAGCACTTAACGGGTTGCATGGGCAAAACTTCGAAATTATTGCTTTTTAACGTTACCTGGTTTTCCACGCTTTGCTGGTAAACTGTCTAGAATTTAATGTTGGTTTTTGCCTCAAAGTGTAATATAAATATGTGAACTAGTAGTAAGCTCTATTAGTCTAAGTGGAAATCCTTCCAGATTTCATCTTTTTTCCCACAAGGCAAAAGTTCGTTGTGATTTTATCCCACTGGAGCTCGTGAACTTTCTGAAGGCATTTTCAGCATCAAATTGATTATAGATTTTCTAAGAACGATATGTGGTCAATCATTCTCGAGCAATGGATTTAGTCCGACTCGAATTAGTCAGTCTTGGTCTCAGACTGGACATTTCCTAGTGCAATTTACCGACTTCCTAGCGGTACTATGGTTTAATGGCTTAACTGGGATTTGAGAAATTATACTGGGTGATAGTTTTTCTGCTGGTCACTAGATAGCCATCGTCTCCTTCTAGTGCAGTTTTAGTTTTAAGAAATATTTCGATGTTTTATCCCTCTACCAGTGCCTAGAACGTCGTAGATGCTTGATACATAAATGACCCGTTCTCACTAGTTGTGAGGGCCCCAAAATAATCTCCATTTTTCGGAGATTTGCTGGTTAAGCGGTTTCCTGGAATCCCTAGGTCAACCTGGCCGAAGTCTGCCCCAAGTTTTCACCACCAGAGGTAGTCGCAACTGTTGCGGATCAGACGGAGATTTACCACCAAACGACTTTGATACCAGGACAGTGGTAGATCCTAGTATTGGTTTGCCCTTAGCTAGTCAGCTTTGGAGACCCTGCCTGTGGATTAATCCCCTGTTCTACGTTGGAGTCCGACACCTAGGAACTCCTCCCAGTCATAATGAGGCGGTAAACCGTTGGAACATCGTAGATTATTGTGTTAAACCAGTTCTGTACGCTTGTGACCATGCGATCAAAGAGCGAGTCATTTTTTTGTGGAAATCGCTTGAAGAAAGACAGCGGATTCTTTGGTGCGAAGCCACTTGAGATTTCTCCAATTCCAGTCAGTTTTATCGAGTTTGTTTTATTTTTCCAGAAATTCAGTGTTAACGTGGTTTAACTCTGTCCAAAATAGTGCTGGGGTCTGTTGGTTTCTCACTTTTATCCCAGTATCATAATTTGAGTACGAAAATGTCTTGCGAAATCTGTACTTAAGCTTAATATATTATGTGAACACTTAGATGTAAAACATTACTCAGAAACAAAATATTTTTAGCTAAAAAGAGGAAATTTTCCTGTACGAATCATTACTTACCATTTCTTTATATACTTGTAAAGCTACATCAAGTTGCCACTGTTCGTTTCGTTCTCTTACATTCGTCTTCCATGATATTTCATGTATGGTGATACCGACGAGCATTATGAGGTGGTCCATAAATTGCGCATGCTAATGCTTCAATGTTCGCTATAGGGGACGCATTTCTTCCTTTGAAGCCCACTTTTCTGTTCATTTTATCTATCATCAAGCTTTGTAAACAAAACATAAGGCCATCCATGTTTCCTCTCCAGTGTGCTGTCATTTTAATCTTATTTCCAGAATATCTGTCAAAGAGTTGAATAACGAAACCTTGTCTAACACTTGAACTTAAGCAAATATCCGTCAAGGGTTTTGTGAGTGATGCTTAAAGGTTTTCAGCGAGGTTGAGATCAACAAGTCGGCTACACAGGAAACTTGGATGTCTGTCAAATTAAGGGGAGTGAGAGCTGAGTTTGGTGTTCGTCAGTTTGTCTAGGAGCCCACAACGACTTAAGAAGCTTTTGTTTTGTAGTGCATTGATAATGTTGATTACTGGGCAATTGAATTTTTCTTATGGAGTTGAGAATTGGTCGTATTCATTCGTTCTCTTTCGTCATTGTAGGCAGTCAGAGGCCATTGTGGGGCTGGGTTTATCGCTTTACGCTTAGGTTTTTCTAAGGAGGCAGTATTTTTTGGGACGATTTGCGCGTAGCTATCGTTTCTGATCGAAAATTCGAATGATCGAATTCACATTTGATGACGATGAATAACTTATCACTATCCTAGTTTAACATGCAGAAATGCTCACTGCAACCATGGAGGAGTAGACCATTGAAGGAGGAGTAAACACTAGTTGGTTGGATTTTCGAGAAGAGATGGATTTTATAAAATTTAATTATTGTGTTTGTGAGGTTTAGGAAAACGGTGTCGAGTTTATTCTCGCATTTTTACTGCAGGGTGATCCGCCACATTATTGGCAGTTTGAGAGGACGCCTGTTCGTCAGTGGTGGGCGAAACATTTCGGTGTCTCTGATATTGAACACCACGAACGAAATCTCGCCTATTACGAAAAACTAGCAATCCAGGCTAGATGGAGGTAGACGTCAAACTTACCATTGTATTTTTCAAGGTATAATTTACAGTTAAACACCTTTCTTGCCAGAGCATGTGAAACAACCCTTGACTGATTAATTGAAACCGCCAGAAGAGTGTGCTGATAGATGGTTTAGACTGTTATGTTTAGAAAAAAGAGGGAAATTTGAAAAAACAGTGGCTTTCTAAGCATAGCGCATAGGTTTCAATCTCTACTATATAAACGAAATGCATTTTAGGCAGATTGAGCAGCGCGTGAAACACTTAGAAGGGGAACGTTGGGACTATAAGGCTTGGAGTTACCAGCCCGTTTCCACAACTTGGGTCGACTACAGTAGATGGCACGCCCTGCGGATAAGAGATCAGTACGAGCAACATGGCCATTATCCGCAGTAGATCTAAAGGTGGTGTATTCGTCTTCTTTGCATATTTAATAAAGTTAGAGCTGAGGTGTGTAATGTCTGTATGCTTTGTTTTCATATTTGGACTTTCAGGTGATTTCAATACAAGAGGAAGAACGTTTACCGGACCGAGTAGTGAATTCTAACAATAGGCATTGTTTAGTTAGTTTGTTGCAAATATCTGATAAAAGTTGATTTCTGATGGTTTATCTTTTTCATGGGTTGCGTGGTCCTCAATATTGGCAATTGTCTTTTCTTCTCAGTTATCTTCATGGGTTAATGTTTCACATTATGTTACAGTATAAGCTCTGCGCGTCATCATTCACAATAGTTTTGTGTTGTCATGAAATTTGAAGAAAAATCATCATTACTATAAGTACGTCACTTTATTCATTGTAGGAACGTTAATCTTTCAGTGATTAGTGAACACCATCTTGGTTCGTTTGCGTCGTCTTAGATTTTTATATGTATTCTTTCTTTGATGAGCTTACACGAGGTTGATAATGATGTTTATTTTCGGCTAACGTTTCGACGTCTTCGTCTTCCTCAGAGCCGATGATCCGAGTCGATGGTCCTCGCTTGTTATTCGCCTCGACGTGGCAGCTTCGCCTTCGTGTCGAGTTAGGTCTTCTTCAGTGAGCCATCTCCTCGAATGAGGCATCCTTACTCAGTGATGCCCTTTTATACACGATGCTGATGGTCGATATAATGATAATGTCCGGTGATAACAACTTGTTTTTCTTCCGGACATACATCATTGCGCACATCGCTTTAGCTCTTAGATTTTTATAACTCTTCGCTGAAGTACACCTTTCAAAGAAGAGACATTCTTGTGGACACTTATTTACTGGGATGACCCGTCTTCCTTGGTTGTGCGGACCCCAGCATCATCTCCATTTTTTCGGAGTTCTACTGGTTTGACCACTGTGGATGCGTCGAGTACCGAGGTCAGCCTGGCCAAAGTTTGCCTCAGCTCGTCACCACCACAGCCATTTGCAGCCTTTGTGGATCAAAGTGAGGTTTCCCACTATGGAACTAGTTTAATACCAGGGCGGTGGTGGATCTTGGTATTGATCTACTCTTAACTTCGTAATGGAAACGATGGACTTTTTCTCAGCTCTTTCTCAGCTTGGGAGATCTTGTTGGTGGGATGAACTCCCTGTTGTACATCACTGTCTGACACCCAGGAACACTTCTCAGCCACGATGAGGCGGCAAACCTTTAGGGGAATTCTTACAATTATATTTTAGTAATTAGATTTCTTAGTTAAACAAGATGTAATGACTAGAAAAATATGATAGAATTGTACTGGTGTACACCATTGCCTTGGGAGCTCCTGGAAAACCTGTGAGGTCTTTTGAATGTGGTACTGAAGAAGGGTACATTATTGCTGTGTAGTGTTCATGTTGAAAAGAGTTCGTTGTTCTTCTTTAAGCCAAAGAGTGATTTTAGCATTCGTTTCGAAATGCTCGAAAATATTGTGGCATGGGTGCTTAATAATTATATCGGAGAGTACCTTGAGAATTTAAACACGGATCAGCTGTCGGTTGCGCTACTATCAGGTTCATGTTTTTCAATGTTGGGTACTTTAGATTTTGTGCACGTAAGTTTGGAAATTAGCTTTTAGTTGTTTTATAGGCCAAGTGGAACTGGAAAATGTCCCCTTGAAGAAAAGTGCGCTACGGAAGCTTGATCTGCCGGTTGAAGTGAAAGCTGGTTTACTTGGAAAACTGACACTATCGGTACCTATAACTCATTTAAAGAGTGAACCATGGGTATTAAAGGTATGTTTTGCAATAAATGCAACGACGTAGTTGATGAATATTTAATGCTGGTGCCAAAAACGCTAAATTGGTCACATATATCTAGTAATTTACTTATTTGGATGCTAAGGTGCACATTCTTCGTAAGTCTTGCCCACCTAGGCACATTTTCCATTTATTTCATTACATCGTTGTTTTACTGTTTCGCGACCGTGGCCATTTTCGCACATGAGGCCCGCTAGATCGAGTGTTTTAGAATCGAGCGTGATAATGAAGCATTATTCTCTGCGGTTCATTTTCGGATTTTTGGAATTAATCCAGAACACCCCGAGAGTTTTGCGCGCTTGTGTTCTCGATTCCTGTGCGAGGATCGTGACACGTACTTCAAAGTCCTCCCCGTTATGTCTATAGGTACTGTGCGTGCCTAGTGGGGTATTTGGTTTACGTTTGCCGACTAGGTGTTATTTTATGCAGATACAGAGGGGTCTGCCCGTTTCGCCAATGTATTCATCACTGCACGCCTTATAGGAGATCAGATAAACTACACCCGAGACCATGCAATCACCGTCTTTACCATTAGGGCAAATTATGCAATTTTGCGTTGGACATAGACGGTCATAAAGGTGGTTACAAACCAGCTGGCGCCTAAGATTACTCGGTGGTATTTCAACTACGTTTACCGAGTTCTCTAGACCCGCCCTTCTTAGGCAGCGTTTTATAGCTGCACGTGCATCATTTGAGATGAAGGGTAGGATAAACGGGACATTTTTATCGCTAGAGTTGTCGTTTGGAGGCCTAGGATTTCCACTACACCTATCCCGAGCTACAGTTTCGTAACCATAAGAAATGGCTATTTGCCGCGCCAAGTTCCGGGGCTCCTCTTTGCTCCCTTGCTGTGCACACGCTGGTAGCTGTTCGAAACATGTTTCTCACAAGCGCCCTTTTCGTGTGAGAGGAGAGGTAATAAACCAAGATGTTTTTACTACTTGGCTTTCGATACCATTTCGTAATGTAGCCGTTTTCTGATAGGTTAATTTGCACGTTCAGAAGTGGAAGCTATTTTTCTTTCGGTTTCTTTCGGGTGAACTTGATATACCCTGACTGTGCATTTAACAACTCAAAACATTTGTCCATTTCCTCTTGTGTTGAGCAAAGGACAAAGCAATCATCTATATATCTACAGTAGAGTAGCAGCCCGAGGTCAATCACCAGTGCTTCCACCTTAGACATAAGCGCAATGACAAGACTTGGTGCCATCGTTGTCCAATTGCCAACCCTCTTATTTGAGCGTAGTACTTTCTGGACCATCTAAAGATTGAGCAGCTCAAGCAGTCTTTTAAGAGTGCCATGAATTGCTCTATCTTAAAGCCATGAATTTTATTTCACCTTCGTGTTGTATAAAAAGTTCGAATATGTCTTGCATTGAGGAGTCATTCGAGACGTTTCTATAAAGGGTGGTATCGTCGAAGGACTCCATCACGTACGCGTTTCTGGGCTGTGCAGTACGTAGACGATCCAGAAACATCCGGGTTATCCGTCAGCTTATTCGTGAATAAGGAATAAAAATAACACCGCGCGTTTTGCTCAACAAGAATACGAAGAATTACTTGATCAATGCCGAGGTGAATAGAAAATCGGTCGTGGGAGTTACTTCCACTAAGTATTCCACGTGGAGGCAACCGCGCAGAGATTGTATACATGGGCTGTATGCATCTCTCGCGCTGCGATATCAGTCAAGTATTGTGTGAGATCACGCGTGATAACAAGGCATTTCTCTCCATTGTTCATTTTTGAATTCTTGAAATTTATTCAGAGCGCCTTAAGTGTTTCACGCGACCAAGTTTCAGATTCCTTCACCAGAATAGTGACTTTCGCTTCAAAATCTTACCCCTTGTGTCTCTTTGTTCTTTGCGCGCCTAATGGAGCATTTTAGTCAACTTTACGCTCAGTGTCTAGGCGTATATTTTTATACGGACAAAGGATGGTCTACATCTCTTGCCAATATATTCATCCCCGTACGCTTTAAGAGGTCAGATATACCTTCCGCCAACTCATGTAGTCGCTGTCTATACTGTCGGGACAATTTACGCCATTATGGATATTTAATTGGACTTCTCTGGAGTCCTAGTTAGGGGGCGAAAAACAGTATCTATACTATAGTGATGCTGAGATATTTGCAAAACTCGGGGTCACACGTGTCTGCGGTGGGGAACGAACGCGCTGTTACCTTTTTCTGTGGGCTAAAACGTTCACCACCACACCATTTAAGTGCTTCGTTTCGCCTTTTGCTTAGCCGCGTTATTGACATATGACTGCTATGAGCAATCATCCGTCAACGGGACTGAGCTGGGGAGCACAAACCGGAATTGAACCCAGTTGAGCCGAAGCTGTGAACATAATACGCTGCCATTGAAAAGGAGGCAGTAAATAATAATTGGCGACATTGTGATTTATACCCTAGCTGGGGTTTGTGCTACCAATCAATCCCGTTGACGGGTGATTACTGATAGCAGCTATAGTTCATTAACACAGTGGAAAGAAAGGCGAAACGATGGACTCGCGTGGTGCGGTGGTGAACGCGTTAGCGCACGGAAAGGGTAATAACGACGTTCGATCCCCACTGCGGACACCTGCGGTCCGGAGTTTTGTAAATATCTCAACATTATCATAGTCGTATTACACATAATGCCCTGCCAATAAAAAAGTAAGCAGTAAATAAAAATTGACGTTAGTATCCATACTGTTTCGTGGACGTGCAACCTTCACTCCATCTAATGGTGCACCTGCTAATGCAAACCAAGGCTTGGACCTCGCCGGTTGTACTACCCGACCCGAAGGTGTATACCCGGTTGCACAACTTGCGGGTTCATGTGAATCGTTGAGCCTTTCGTTTTTCTTTCTTGGAGCCCGGCGCTGGCCTTGATGGGCTGTTCAAAACTTATCTTTTATCATCCCATGCATTATCCGGCATGTTATGGAGCTATTCTTATTCTCTTTTGGGCTATTTTTCTACGAGGACGTCGGTTATTTACGAGTATGTTTTACTCTTGGTTGCGATTCCGAATGGAAATGTCAGACTCGTTTTCACGTTGTACTACACGGCTCTGAATAGACCGAACTCATGCTGTGCGTTCAAATTCCACACATTGGAACAGTCCTTCGCTACAGTGTGAGAGGTGTAATGTGGTTTTTCATCGAATAGCTGCACCACTTTTAAATGGAGCATATCAAAACTTAAAAACAAAATTGCTGCTGTTAGACTCATATTGTTATATAGGTAAGTATTAAGTAGCTAATTTCAGCGGCTCGCTTTCATGCATGGTTGGCAGCATATTTTTTTTATTCCTTTCGTTTCCTTCCGACCTTTATACATAACGATGTTCATCATCATGTGTGTTCAATTCTGCTAGTATCATTCTGTGGTCCTTAAGTCCTATCTGTAATGTCGATCCTTTTGTCTATAGATCTAGATCTATTAGATCACAGAAGTTAATGAGTTGAGATTCTCTTTAAGAGTTGAAGCTTTTCTAAAGTCCTAGGCAAACATAAAACTGTTCGGACACTTATGCTACGCAACTGAAATTATTGCGTTTCCCACGATGCCTCCATCTCGACCTAAATTCTTCAGTTTTTATTTTAAAATGACATAATTACTTATAGTTGAGTGAAGTCCTTGTTGTCATTGGACCACTCACACCGGATCATCGATATGATGTTGAGGCCGTAGAAAGAGTGGAACAACAAAAGAAGGAACAGATGCTGGATGAATTGGAAGAACGACACAAGGTAATCAATTTCATTAATGGGAAGCATTGTTTTAACATCTGAATGTGATATGTCTAGGCTGAGTTATTATCATTTCTCGATTTGCCTGATCCTGTTTCTCAAGACACATGGTGGGGCGCATCGCTGGTTTCTGCTGTACTTAATAATATCCAGGTTTGCATGTGGTAGTATATCTATAGTTCGATATGGGTGTTTAGGTTTATGTGAGTTAGTACAAATGTAACGTTTCAAATATTCGTGCTTAGCTAAGGGGGAATTCTCTTTACACTTATCTTTCTGGGAAATGTGTAGCGTGTGCGGTGAAAATTTTGTTTTCAGTACTGTTAAGGAGACATTTCTACATCTGGTTTATCGGTGTACAGTGTCTTCAGAAGAGCAGTAAATTAAAAATTATACTAGAGATATAATGAAGGAGTTATGTTGGTACAAGCGAAGTCCGCTTTTTTCATTTGTTTTACGAATTAATTTCTAGCTATTTAGTTAATTCTCAATAATGTACATATTCGCTATGAGGATAACTTATCATTACCTAATGGACTGGTATTCAACTGTGGTGTGCGTATCCAAACGATGACTGTACAGACGACCAATGCGGCTGGAGTAAGGTTTTAAGGGTTATTCTTTTGTGTTGTTATCTATTTTCGAGAATGAGTTCGATTCGTGTTACCTTAGGTTACTTACGATAGGATGCTTTGCTTTGTGTTGTATTTTTATGTGGCCGCTGCTTTGATGTACAGAAGATTTATTTCCTTAGAAGCTTCAAGAAAGCCAAAAGGGAACTCGATGTTTTCGTCCAGAATCGCAGCGAAGAGTAAATCTATTCTAGGGCAGAACGTGGCTAACTGCTTATGGCTAACATGTCAAGAATATCAAATAGGACCCTTTGACATGAGCGACTCTAGTGCGCAATGGGGCCGAATGATGACACTGGTGTTTGCTTAATTTGTCGGTGATTAACGAGATCAAAAGATTGGAAATGTTGAGCACTGCATGAATGAATCCTTGAATCGTAAGCGGGCGTTATAGCAGGTTTGATGGTGTAGAGGGTGACGATCCTCTGAGAAGTCGGTGAACTTGCTGAAAAGATGAAGCACTCTAATCTTCCCCCAAGCAATGACCAGATTTTGAGTGTAAAATTTTATGTATAAAAATATTTAAGAACGGTAGTAAATGGTATAACTAGTAGCTGGAGAGTGTTGCAAGGAACTCTAGGAGACTTCAGATTAATATCGACTACCTTTACCGTTCATGTGATCATGGTTATTAATTGCTCCACTGGATTCGACTCGATAGGACAGCGACCAGCTGTACATCATCGACTGGGATCGATTCGGCTTTGCAGAAGAGGAAAGTGTTGAAGTGTTGGTTGAGTAAATATTCCTTTATATACCAATACCTGTGGAATCAGCAAATTGATGTCAAAATCGCCTGAGAAATGTTCACTTCGATACACAAGGACCGCCGAGTGCTTGTGATTAATGCACGTCTTAAGATCATCGGTGACGGATGCCAAACAACGAAGCGAATGAAGGCAGTGCTGGGATCTGTAAAATATATGATGTCAAGGCACAAAGATCAACAAAAATAAATCTATCGTTCAAGGGATACAACTTATAGGGGGATGGTACGTTGTGTGATCTATCTACAGCTGTACTAATCTGGAGCGAGTTCAAAAACAAAACCAGTACTACTTTTGTTTATATAGAGGCTTTCTTGGTTTCCATTCTATGCGTTTATTATCTTGAACTTTATTTCAGTTATTTTTTGCAGAAGCCGGGTTTTATTGAGCCTCAAAGTGGAGTGAATGTTTTCAAAAAACTTGAGTTGAAAGGATTCAGTTTGTATTGGAATTCAAATCAAGAAACGTTACAGAATATTGACGAAGCAAGGAATTTACGGGTAGGTCCTTGTTGGTTTTTCATAACCATGTGTAATGTATGTAAATTGTTGCGTTTTTCGTTTTGTTTTTAAATTAGAATGTCTTTATAGGATATCTTAGCTCCAGAGAATCCCAACTATGCTTTTATAATTCATCCATGTAGTGCTGAGCTTCGCATGGAACGTAATTCCAGCAAATCTCCATTAAAAGGGCAAATCCCTCGGTTCAAAGTAGGTTCCATTATTACATTTTTTTATATGTCGGATGTGTCGGTCCAAATCGTTTTTCTCTGGTTCATTTGTGGCCTATGTTTCTTGGAGATAATCAGTGATCTTTCCCTTGTCTTTAGTTCACTAATGTTCAGTTCTTTCTACGTCCAAACAAAATCACAATGGAGATGAGTCGAAGACAAATTGCTGAATTACGTGCATTAAACAGAGAATGGGCCCGTTTTGAGCGTGCACGTCAACACAGAAAGTGGCGCCCATTGACACCTATTGGGGAGAAGTAAGTATTGATGACTTGTCATTCAGATTCCATTTGATTACAGCAGAAAAAAAAACAGTGTTCAATCTGCATTTTGAAAAAATATTTGGGATTTTTGCTTTCTGCGCTTTTCTCAAACAGTTCGGTTCGAAATAAATTTCTTTTAGCTCAAAATTGAACAATAATGTTACCGGTATGCACAATACTCAGTGCTTCCATAGCCCTTATTAAAGTTTTTCAGTGCTAAGGCCTGGTGGCGCTTCGCCTATGGCCGTGTAACTGATGAGGCACGGCGTGCCCAGTCGCGTCGTTCTTGGCATTTCGCATTAACACGAGCACAACATTTGAATGCCTACTGTCGTGCTTACCGGCGACGACTTTTATCCTTAATCGATGATCCATCGATGCCGTGAGTGACTATTTCAATCACTCATGTTTCCTTTTTCTATCAGGATTTTTATAACGTTACAGAAATGTTGCTGCGGAAGCAGGTGCCAGTCGAGGGTCACCAGCCAATTCAACAGCACCAGCTGGTGGGTCACACGAGTACGTCGCAATAATGAAACAGATTGAGCGAGATTCACAATATTCATATCACGTAAGTTCGATAGGAATTTAACTTAAGGTGCATACAATGAGACTTATTAATGTAGGAACTTCACCTATTTCGCGAGACAGTGTTTCGTCGAATAATGCGTGAAAAAGCTAAAGAAAGAGGGCTGGATGCATCGACTGAGAACGACCAGGCGTTTGAGAAGATTGTTACACCAATGGATGAGATTCCATCAGTGAACTTAGATGTTGAAAAGAAAGAAGAAGGTCGCGGTCTTTACGGGTGGATTACGAGTTTCTTTACTCAGGAGAAAAACAGTATGTTTTCTGTTTTTGTGCATTTAAGGGAAATCATTAAAGAAGTAATGGCCTAAATAGGTGTCTTTAGAAATTTCGTTTTAAAACAGCGGTAACACCGGCGGTAGGAGACGGTGTTAAAGTGCTTCCAATATTTTTTAAAGGACTTTTCCTTAGGTATGGAAAAAAATGAGGTGTTGGAGTCTGGGAAACTGGATTTCCATGGGTTCAAGGATCTTCCAAAGACTTTCAATGTGAAGGTATGTTATACCTTCTTCCTGTGTTTTTGTTTTCTGCATTTTTACTTGCTAAGAAATCAGACATTTGATATTCATGTAATGGTTAAGTAATGTCCAAGTTTGAAAGGCAACTTTGAAATACCATAAATCAGCTCGAACATAACTTTATTAGTCAGTATAGGAGCTATTGGATTCTACACTTTTTTGCCAACGAGGTAAAATCCATGCTTTTGTACTTTGTAGTTGCGAATTCTGGATGGATCGAATGCTTTGAAAGCATCTTTAGCAGCGATTTTGTTGTTGAGCTTTTTTCGGCTGTCGGTTGTTCTCGAAATTCTTCGGAAAAGTGATTTTTGATTATTGGGCGGACCATTGAGTATGGTGATTAAAAGGGATTCGAAGCCGAAGTAGTTTAAATTCTGCATTGTTGGTTGTGCGGTGTTTGGTAATGTTCTCTGTGCAATAAGGATCGACTTCTTTTCACCAGTTTGGGATCCATGTACAATCAATCACCTTCGTAGAATTTCATTGACTTCGTCAAAATACTTCCACACTATGTTCGATTCGAGACGTTTTGGTTCAAGATTGCTCGGTAATTAATATACGACTTGTACCTTCACTTTTCTTATGTTTGTTTTAGATTTAGGTTTTTTTTCGATACTGCCCTATTGTATTACACTTCGAGGCTTTTTTATGCACCTTCGCTGTATGTAGTTAAATTATGCTATAGATTGTGTTTTCGACAAAGAACTTCTTTTGTCAAAACAGTAATTTCGACAAACTTTTACGAATTGAAACTCTGAAGTACGCAGTGTTGCATTAATAGGGTATGCGGGCATGGAGGCGTTATCGAACAAGTAATGTAACATTGATTTGATTTGCCAGGAATTCTACATTGAAGATGAGGATCGTGACGAATGGACGTCGTTCTACTTTTGACGATGAATTGGAGGAGGAACTCGGTTTAACCATCTCAACTGTTGTGGACCATCTAGAGATGATCGGGAAGTCGAAACGGCTCGATGAATGTTGCCGCACGAATTGATGACAAGTAAGGAAGTCACCGTTTGGAGGTGTCTTCGGTGCATCTGCGCCACCACAGCGAGCCATTTCGTTACCATATTTTGGCGAATGACGAGAAATTGATCATTAAGGAAAACGGAAACGATCAACTTAGTGATTGGGTAGTATTGTAGCTCCATACGGCTTTGCAAGCCCGACATTACTCCGAAAAGTCATGCTGGTCGTTTGGTGGCGTGCCGTCGGTTTGATTAACCAAGCGTCCTGGGTTCTGTTGGAACAATTGTGGCGATCCAGCAAATCTGTGGAATGCCCAAGAAACTTTATTGGTTACAACCCTAATTGTTACCAGAAGGTGACCGATCCTTCTTCATAATAACGTATGGCCACACGTATCCCTATGGATGCTGCTAAAGTTGAACAAGCAGGGCTGCTTAACTGTGCCCATCCTTCATACTGGCTAGAGTTCTCCTACCGATTAGTAACATCTTGATAGCTTCCTCTCTGAGAAATGTGAAGCTTCCTTCAACGAATTCATCGCCTCCAGAAGTACAGATTTTATGCAACCGGTATATATAAACTCGTTTGTCAATGTGTGCTTTTTATTTCGATTAACAAAATTTGCTCTGAGCTGAGATATACCGAAAACGAAAAGTCATCACAATCTTTCTTGGTGTAACACTTTAATGAATATTCAGGAACCTGTTCTTATCCCAAACTTTGTAATGACCGTGGTCCGTTCTCGTCTGGGAATCCACTTTTTATCGTATATTCTCGTTGAACAAGTCTTTTTTTTTTTTTGAAACCGACTTATATCTGGCTTCGATGTCGTTGATGAATGGTATTTTACTCAACTTTTATTTACTGTCTATTTTTTTCCGTGACAAGGTGTTATATGGAATACAACCGCAAGAATGCTGAAGTATGAGCTGAAATCGGAACCTCAGTTCAGTTTCGAATTCGCGGTTATCCTATGCTCACGTGATATCCACCACATCACCGTTGTCTTTCCTTTGCCTTTCATTCCATTCTTTGTATTTTCACTATGATGGCTGACTGCTGATATCACTGATAAGGTCAAAGCATTACTGAGAAAAACGCAAAGCAAGAGCTTGGGTTGTTGTAGTGAATAGCACGTGAGCCATCCTCAAGCGTAATCTTGAGTTCAAAACCCACCTGAGGTTCATATGTTCGCTTATATTTCGGCATTTTTGTAGTTACATTTCGCACAATTTATGCTACAGAAAAAGATGAATAGAAGGAAACAAAAGTTAAACGTTGTGATTTCGAATGCAGCTTCAGTTTGGCTGGATTAAATGCCGATTTTTGCTCCCTAGATCAATTCCAGTTGATGGTATGACGATTACTGACAGCATTGTTAGAGCAAAAAACTGGTTGAGAGGAAGGCAAAGAGAAGACCTCTATTGACACGACGGATAATATTTTGTTCTATTCATGAGCTTACACGAGGTTTTTATAAACTTTTATTAGGCTAAGGTTGCAGCTCCTTGGTTCTCACAGCCGGATTGATTCGGGTCGATTGTCCACAGTCGGTCGTTCTCGGGATATAGTCGCATTAAATTGATTCTTCTAGAGTTCTCTTCATCGTTGCTTTAGGCATACCTTAGATTTAGAGATATTATAAGTTGTTAGTTCTCGGTGTTTTACAGTACTATGTAATGTAACAATCATAAGTGGTGAATCACGATTTGGCCATTTTCATTGTTTTGCGTTTGTTTTTGAGATATTCCTTCCTCCTTATATCTGAAGCGTGTAAAAGGAGCGCAGTATAGACTTCATGACTAGAGATTGTTGGATGGTGAACGTTTTTCTACTTACCCTTAGCTTGCGTTTGGGTAGGGCTTCAATTATCGGTTTCATATGGTCGTCGTCAATTTCCGAAACACGTCTTCGACCTCGTCCATTACGGGAGCTCCTGCCTGTCCTGCAAACCCTCTGGACTCTTCAATGTGTTCTGGAGATCGTCGTTTCCTTGTACTTTGATGGAATTTCAAATCGCTGTCGTTGCTTTAAGGGAATTTTTGAACGCTTTGAGCAAAACGATGCGACTTTTGTCCTTTGAGAACATAATGATCCCCTCTATAATCTTAAACTAGGTCTTAGGAAGGTTACCACGAGGCAAGGAGTTATACAGGAAATAGACTTTGAAATGAAATGAAATTTGAAATAATGCGTAGCAACAAACTAAGGATTAAACATACATTAAAATTTGTTTTGTAGATTTTTACATATTTGGTTGCGTCAAAGACAACAGTTCTCTTCCTACCGACCTATATTAATCATTCTCTGGCAAAAATGAGAAAATCCAAAGCCTTGTTTTCAAAAATAAATCTCTTCTTGGGGTAGAGATATTTCGGTTGCAATTCGTTGAATGTAACCATGATGCTGAGATATTTGCAAAGCTCAGGACCGCATGTGTCTGCAGTGGGGAACGAACGCTCTATTATCCTTTCCGGGGGATTTTTTTGGATGTGTTTCTTCTATGTGCACGCTGTGATGTATATCGAAGAAGTTTTGTAGGAAATGGAAGAAGAAATCCTCGATGTTCTTCATGAATCATGGGATGACTCCACTTTGCTTCGACGTGATGTTCTATTAGCAGAGATTGCAATGCAGCTAGAACATATTACGCTACGATTTGTTGACACTTTTGTAAGTTTAAAATTAGTGTTATGGTGTGCTTAATGTTCTGTCTGCTTCGTCGGCTACTGTGTTTTTATGTTAGCACACAGGTTATCACACAAAGAAAAGTATATTTCAGATTCTGGAGAAAACCGAACAACGACGTGTACTAGCACTGGACTTGACGGGAGTATCATCACGAGTTGAGCTTAGTCCTCGGCAGCATTCGTTGTTCATTTCCTCAGCGGTTCATGATATGAGCGTTCAGCGATTACGTTGCGGTCATATGCCACCAAAGGTATATTCTTGCATTGATTTCTGGATGTTTTATTCACTTTTAAATTGGTGAGCGTACCACACATACATTATGGTGGGACGGCTCGATTATATAGGAATACCAAGTAGTTAAGATGATTCGGTCGGAATTTGCTGCTCGCCTTTGTG